CAGATATCATCAGGTACTACAAATCAGGCACGCCAGTCATTTGCTCGTTTTTAACCAATATCTGATTTAAACCAAATTCTTTAAAAAAAAAAAAAAAACAAAAAAAAAAAACAGGTCAAACTATTTATCCTGGCATTTTGTATGTTGTACGCACACAGGAAAACGAATTAGCAGTGTCTTTACCGGTGATTACTCTTTCTTTGCTGTAGCATCTGACAGAGCAGCTGGATCTGGACCTATCCCCTCTGGAGTACATGATGAAGTGCTACCCAGAGATCAAAGAGAAGGAGGAGATGAGGAAGATCATCGGACGCTACGGACTCACCGGCAAACAGCAGGTCCGTCTTGCAGCTTGGTACAGGAACGCGTTTTGTAGGGTTTACGTCAGGCATGGACATGGTGGATGTTCTCCCAGCTCCTGCTCAGTTCCCTAATGCTACGCTCAGAATTTGAACATGAAGTTTACAAACTCGTAGTAAGAAAAGTGTATTTGAGTTGAGCGGTTATTTTGTACTGCTTTGCACAGCAACGTACATGGAGCATGAGCTAATTGTACAGAATGCTTGGTTATACTGATCTTCAATCCTAGGTGATTGAACCTAATGCTGTTGCGGTGTTCTTTTGATACCAGGTCAGTCCTATCAGAAATCTGTCAGATGGTCAGAAGTGCCGTGTCTGCTTCGCCTGGTTGGCCTGGCAGAACCCCCACATGCTCTTCCTGGACGAGCCTACCAATCACCTGGACATCGAGACCATCGACGCACTTGCCGAGGCCATCAACGACTTTGAAGGGGGAATGATGCTGGTCAGCCACGACTTCAGACTCATTCAGCAGGTAAATTTGGATACTCTTCTTCTGAGGGTGTTTTTTTTTTTTTTATTTTTTTTTTGGGGGGGGGGCCTCCTTACTTCGAAAACTAAAAATTCCTTCATCTTTGCGTTCATGCTAATAGGTAGCTCAGGAGATCTGGGTTTGTGAAAATCAGACCATCACCAAATGGAGTCGGGACATCTTGGCCTACAAAGAACATCTGAAAGCCAAAATCGATAAACATGTATAACGCACGCGTTGCCTTGTCCATCCGAGGCAGTCAGTGTCTCGACTGTTGCTCTCCTTGGCAAAGCATGCGTGCGGCTGAAGTGTTGCAAAGACATCTACAGTTTTGCATTTGTGTTGTCTTCTTTTTGTCTAAATTAAATTAAACATCAAGGCAGTGGTGTGCACTTAAGGATATTTTCAGGACATTTCACATGGCTTTTTTTTTTTTTTTAATAAACAGTGCATTGAGACACCACCTGATGCACCACTGATATACGTGAGCTCTTAAAGAGCTTTTATTTTTCAAGTATTTAATGCTGTATCTGCAATAATGAGTTTGTCTGAGCATAACTGAATAAAAGTACCTTTGTCGGTTCCTATAGCCGTTATTGCGATATTGTTTTGTGGAATCTTTTGTCAGAATCGAAGTCAAGCCGTTAAGTGTTAAATTCATGCTACAATATCATTTCTACAGTAAAATTATTACAATAATACGTTTAGTTGTTTCATTTGGTCCGAGTTGCTTGATGTGCCTGAATTCACACCACCACGCTTCTTCCTCCGTTCATCCTGCGTTATTACGCCTTTTGTCTGAGTTTGGTTTAGAAATTGGTCACCTCTACCGTTAAAGGTGAGTATACTACACTAATGACATGCAAACTGTATAATTTATTAGCTTCCCAGCATTCGACCACGGATGTCTGCAATATTGCAGGTATTTTATTTATTATTTTATTTGTATCCTACCCATATTGCGCCATACCATAGCTACTTCCCATCGATTGGCTAATATTACTTGAGTCAGAAGAATTAGCCAATCCTATCGTATGATGACCGGTTTGTCTAGCTAATCCTGCCATTAGAGGGGGTAATGGAATGGCCTGGTCAAAGCCTGGATTTGAATCCCATGAAAATGTTGTTGAAATGGGCAGTACATGCAAGGAAAAACTCTCAAACATCTTGCAACTGAAAGGATATTGCATGGAAGAGTGGAGCTTGGTGGACAATTATGCAAAATGCCTACAAGAAGTTATTTCTGCTAAAGGGGGCAATACTAGGTTCTGATGCCAAGGGTGTACATACTTTTTTTCCACAAGGATATCACCCCTCTTGATCTTTCTCCTGAATAAATGATGGAAAAAGCTAATTTCCCTTGTGGGTTCGTTAAAGTACATCAACTTCATTAATAAGCACTGTTTTAAAGATGATCAAATGTTTGCTTGTCCAAATATGTCCCCAAAAAAAGGCAAAAATCTCCACGGGGTGTACTTATTTTTTTTCACATGACTGTATATAGTATTGGCAAACTACGCTGTGTAAAATTCACATGTATGTGTATACTTGTACTTTGCCCAGTAAATTACTGACCGAAAAAGACTTTCATCCTAAATATTTAGCTGGCAATTTAAATTCTTCAAAGTGCCACAAATCAAAATAGACTTTTCAGCATTCTTTAGACAGATGAAACTGAGATCAACCTGTACCACAATGAAGGGAAGAAAAAAAAAAAGTATGGCGACAGGTCGGAACAGCTCGTGATCATCTGTAAAACATGGTGGAGGCAGTGTTATTGCATGGGCATGCGTGGCTAACAGTGGCACTGGGTCACTAGTATTTATTGATGTGAAAGAAGATGGAAGCAGTCAGATGAATTCTGAAGTGTATAGGAATACATTGTCTGCTCAGATTCAGCCAAATTCAGTGAAGTTACTTGGATGGCGCTTCACTTTACAGATGGACAATGACCCAAAACATACTGCGAAAGCAACCCAGGAGTTTTTTAAAGCAAAAAAAGTCGAATATTCTGCACTGACCAAGTCAGTCACCTGATCTCAACTCCATCGAGCATGCTTTTCACTTGCTGAAGATAAAACCTAGGGCAGAAATGACCCAATGCTTGTTGCTTGGCCTCTGTTTCCTGTCTTACTTCAGTTTGCATTTCTAGTTCGAAAGGTCTAAACTAGAGACGCACCGATACTAAATCTCTCAGCCGATAACGATAACCAATTATTCGGAGTGATATGGGTCGATACCGATAGTTCTGCCTTTTACACCTTTTTTCAATTAATAACGATTAATTCCATCCATTTCAACAAGTTGTTTCACAGTAACTGGTCCCATCAACACAAAACACATTACTCTAATATGAACTCAATTCCGTAGATTAAAGTAAGATTATTAATTTATTGAATGTTATTAATATATAAACATTCACTGGATATGAAATACACAACTCTTACAAATATATTTTTCTGTGCAATATATATACTTTTTTTGTCAACTCATCGTCATTTAAATCTTTCCGCGGTGTGATCATCGGATGTTTTAAAACAATTCGGATTATTGTCCGATACATGGGTGCATCTCTAGTCTGAACCTAACTGAAAAGCGTGATGGAACTGTGGATAGTGGATCTTCTCTAGACATGAACAGTCCTACACTGCCTTGAAATGCTTATTGAGAATACAATCAAGTAGATTTTCTTTTTTTTTTTTTTTTTTTTTTTGCTAGATCTTCTTTGGCAAAGTAACAAAGCTCTGTCTTTTGTAGAGTTTTGTGCCCTTCATGGGAACATATCCGGTGCTGGTATGCAGTAAAAGTGCTCGGTTAAAAACACGACTTTCCCCGTTCATTATGTTTCAGCTTATGAGACAATAACGAAATGAATGTCCTTCTTGCAAAAGTGCACGACTACTAATCATTTAACAGATGTATTAAATGTTTCATCCTTGACATGGTAATTGAAACCATTATTGAACATTTATGGAAGAAGTCTTGGGTGTCAGAGCTTTGTAGCAGTAGGGTTTCTGGCACTGGAGAGTCTTGTACATATTAAATTCAAGAGCGATAGTTGAAAGTATGATGTGCTGCTCTTTAATAAAATGTCGTCGTTGGCAAATTGCTGTGGTGTAAGTGGAATAAAACACTTCAGGGTGTGTTATAGGAACTGGGGGGTTTCACGAGCATGGCTCAGATAGTAGTTTTGGCTCTAAGATGAACAATAGGTTCCTGTTCGTGTCCTCGTTCTAATGATACTGTTTCTGTAGTAACAGTTCATACTGAGCTCATATCCACATAATCAAATCAAGACTAATAATAAACAGATTTAAAAAAACAAAACAAACAACAAATAAAACGTGTCTTTGCTTATCACGGTAAAATGTATAAACAATTTGAATCATTGATGACGTGTTTTTAGGAGACATTTACAGTGGGGGAAATAAGTTTTGAATGAATCGTCATTCATTTCCAATGAGGCTGTTCACATGAAATTTTCACCAGACTTTGGTATTAAAGACGCCGTGTCTGTTTTCTCAATGTTATCTCCCTAATCTGTTGCTCAGTGACTGTACTATCTGTTCTGTTTATTTCATTTTCTGTGCTTGATTGCTCATTGCTTTTCACATTTGGTGTTTGTCCATGATTGCTCCTTGTTTATGTATCATTATATTTCTATGGTAAAGCAACCTTGAGCTCTGGAAAGGCACTATAAAACATATTGTGTGTATATATATATAATATAATGTATATGTAAATTAAACATATTATTATTATTATCTACATCTTCCTATTGCAGCTCTTCTGGAGCCGTGAGTGTAGTCAGGCACAAGTTCTTCCTCCTGTCCCCTGTCCTCTGTCCTCTGCAATAGACAACTTTACAAACTCACTCTCCTCACTAACACCAAGTCTCCACAAGGTGTCTTCCTTACTCTGTCGAATATAATCTGCAGCCTTTAATTCTTGCTTTTTAAACCCTATTGTTGATGTGTTGATATTTATATCATTACAGTTTTGTTTGTCCCTCGTTAAGGCTGCTCCCGGTTTCAGGGTCACCACAGCAGATCGGCATGTTGATTGTGGCACAAATTTTACGCCGGATGCCCTTCCTGACTCAACCCTCCCCATTTTCTGGGCTTGGGACCAGTACTGACTCATGAAACCCTGCAGTGGCTGGAGTCGGTTCCCTGACCAAGAATCGAACCCGGGCCACAGCGACGAGAGTGCCGCATGCTAGCCACTAATCATAGCCACCAGGGAACCATTTAGGCTATTACAGTAGAAACAGCAATTTATTCATATTTCTCCAGTACTCCAATCTCGAGTGTGAGCCAGTCGTGAAGAAAATGAGAAACGCTAAGAAAAAGAACACTTTTCTGATGACTGATTAAACTGCCTCTTACAGCCTAATGACAGTTACATAGAGTCCAGTCTCATGTCACCATCATCTCTGAAAAGAACACACACAGAACGTTTGTGTAGTTTTTGCTTCAGCAATGACAAACAAACAAAAAGGTCAAAAACATGCAGCACTTTTCATGTTCTTTCCCATGTTCTGTATGAAATACATAGATGTGTTTTTTTTTGGGGTTTTTTTTTTTTTTAAAGCACATTATGCTCAGGCATCAAGTCTGATATTTAATATGAACTGTTAGTTGAGTATTTGTTAAATAAATGCTTCAGATAGTCATCAGGGTGTTTAAATCTGCTTTGATTTCATTTACATGAAAGAGGAGAGGAGGATCAAAATGATTCTTAATGTAGTCTATTGTGTGTTCCCCTATAGTGAGAAAAGAACAGAACCTGTTTTCTCAAAGCGTTTTTATAATAGAAAGGCAGTTGTTGATTTGCCGGAACATTCATGTTATGTACCATCAGTTCCATACAACTACAGTTTTAGCACAAACACAAATTCTAATTATTTTACTAATACCTAAAAAAAATTAAAGTGCACCTATTATGCTTTTTCAGATATTCCCTTTCGTTCTGATTCTGAACAGCTGAAATGATTCGTTAGTGATTCCAGACTTTAATTCCTGTACTAACCGACGTAGGTTCGTAACAAAAAGCCCCACCTCTGGTCCTCATCTGCTGCTCACAAACAGACGGAGCTGATATTTCTTATAGTAGTGGGCGTTTCCTTTTCGACACACGCTGACAGCGGTAGACCAATCACAACAGATTGGGACGTCTGACCAATCAGAGCAGAGTATGCTCTCTGAAAGCAGGAGTTTAGAATGAATCCTTTAGTACGGATCATTGAAGGAGTCGTTTGTGACACTGGGAAGGCAACGCTGCAGTTTAAATTCTGAGCAATTTATAATGTTTTGGGTTTTTTTAACCTCGGACGCATGTAAATCTATCGTATGAGACCTTTAAAACAAAATTAGTCACGTTTTAAAACCTTAATAGGTGTGCTTTTTGGAATCTTAAGGCTTTCAAAAAAAAATTATTTATAAAATGAAGAGATTTAAAAAAAATAAAAATAAATAAAAAAGTATGTTTAATTCCATTTTAAATTGGAGGAAGGATGGAATACCGTTTTGAAAATGTTTTGTTTACGTAACCACACACTCCAGAGGTTTATTATTATAGTTAAAAAAAAAACGTCTTATAAACTAGAAGAATGTGTCCAAATTGGAATGAGTCGAATATATGAGAACCTAGTTCAGACCAGAGTTGTTTAGCTATAGTGCAATAAAAATAAAAAAAAAACAATTTCAGTATTGAGAAGCACCCAACATGGCGGTGTGCACAACACGTGACGTCAGAGCCGGAATATTTCACAGGCCAATCAGAAAGCGCTTTCTTTGACCATCATTAAAACTCGCGGCTTCCGTGTCACGTCCCAACGTACGTCATGACGTATTCAAAGAGGAAACATGGCGCTCTCCTCCAGCTGCCGTCTTTTCGTAGCGCAAGGACTTTGTATGAGACGGATGTTAAGCCAGGGACCGAGGACGGTCTGCATGCCAGGTTTATTTGATTGTAAAACGCATAAGCTACACCAGCAGTTATCGGTTATATCGCCGCTGCGTGAATTTAGGCGACGGAGGTCATTTAATTTGCATATAAATGCGCCATATTTTAATGAGGAAGGTGGGAATGAGCACACCGGCTTCCTGTTTACAGTGTGGAGTGCAGTGGGTAAGTGCAGCGTGTCCATAAGCAGGTCGAATAAACAGAGCCTTACTATATGCCATCCATCCATCCATCCTCAACCACTTATCCGATAGTCGGGTCGTAGGGGCAGCAGCTCCAGCAGGGGACCCCAAACTTCCTTTTCCCGAGCCACATTAACCAGTTCTGACTGGGGGATCCCGAGGCGTTCCCAGGCCAGTGTGGAGATATAATCTCTCCACCTGGTCCTGAATCTCCTCCCAACTGGACATGGCTGGAACACCTCCCTAGGGAGGCACCCCGGGGGCATCCTTACCAGGTACCAGGTGCTCAACTGGCTCCTTTCAACGCAAAGGAGCAGCGGCTCTACTCGGAGTTCCTCTCGGATAGCCGAACTTCTCACCCTATCTCTAAGGGAGAGGCCAGCCACCCTCCTGAGAAAACCCATTCCGGCCGCTTGTTCCCGTGATCTAGTCCTTTCGGTCACTACGCAGCCTTCATGACCATAGGTGAGGGTAGGAATGAAGATTGCCCGGTAGATCGAGAGCTTTGTCTTCCAGCTCAGCTCTCTTTTCGTCGCGACGGTGCGGTAAAGCGATTGCAGTGCTGCTCCGATGTCCCCGCACTCGTGCACAAGACCCCGAGGTACTTGAACTCCTTCACTTCAGTCAGCACTCCATCGGTTTCCTGCTGAGAACCATGGCCTCAGATTTAGAGGTGCTAATCCTCATTCTAGTTACGTTACTACATTACATATAGTACTATTACATATAGTTACCTTACTATATGGTACTTCCTATTTCTGCAATACTGCCACATGTGGGTTCAGTGTGCAGTCTGTAGATTGGATCAAGTCTAATCTTTCTAGTCTAGTCTGAGGACAGATTTGAAGTTTTGACTAAAAAAAATATGGCCACGCTCTAAACCAGGGGTTCCCAAACTTTTCCAAATGGCCTTGCCCAAATTTGCCCGAGGCCGCCCTTTTGCAAGATGTCTTTAAAACACATTCAAAATACAGACTTTTGAATATATCCCCCCTTATTTTTCTTTTATTAATAACTACGTCTTTAGATTACATTCGGAGTTGATTGTGTGTGTGGTTGTCTGAGAGTGAGAAAGAGAAAACACTAGTGGAATGGATGGGCTTGTCAAGCCTGGCCAAATTGTTGAGGCCCCCGGGGCGCCCCCTGGCGGCCCCCACTTTGAAAACCACTGCCCTAAACTACATTAATATTCAAGTTCAAGATTTTTTAACTTTTCACATACACTATATAACTGAATGTAAACCTGGCCTACTCCTCTTTTTTAATCATCTGCGTATTGGTGTCATTTACAACACCAGCACTGTTCCAAGGGAGACGCCGTAAAATTATGTAAACGGAATGCACGTTTAAGCTATATAAAGAAATGCAAACAAAACATTTCAGTTTGACTGTTGGTTTAGGATACTAGTCTTTTCTCCCAGCCCCTTAACACTCACCTTTTTAAAAATAAAATAAAATAAAAGTGTTATTTATATAAAGCACCTGCTGTTCTGTCGTCCGTGAGCGCTGTGTGTTCAACTGTGACGTTTTTCGGGTTTTGATTCTTTCAAGTTAAAACGGATCCACATGTCTTACTCTTTACTCTGTCCGCAGCGTTCTCGCTGTTTGGCAGTAAAGATGAAAGAACGGAGGCGCAGAAGACGGAGGATGAGATTATTCTCCTGTTAAAGAAAGCGAAGGTAAACTACCACGTTGGTGCCAGATGAAAACGATAAGAGTGACATTTTAAAGCAAAGCACGGCAAAATAATCGGGCTGTGGCTTGACTCAGATACTCCCCATTTTATTAGTCATATGCACGCTTTCTCCCTAGTTCTGTGTGTGTGTGTATATATATATATATATATATATATATATATATATATATATATATATATATATATAAGTTGTATTTATAAATGGAGGAGATTTCTGCTTTTCACAGTACACCATGATGCTCGGGGAGCTGGATGCAGCGAACAGCTTCTTGCATAAAGCGATTCGACTCGCTCATCAGAGTCACAACGACGACGCCATCATCTACACCTACAGCCTGGTAGACCTCCTGCTCGACTTGGTTCAATCTCACATTACGTCCTTCGTTTATCAGAATGTGCCGGTAGTAATATTAGCTTCTTTCTCTGCAGATGGCCAACTTGGCTTTTGTTCAAGGTGAGCTGGACAATGTGAGTAAGAACAAGGGGGACTTTTCCCTTCTCTACGCCCCTAAGTGTGCGCTTGACCTTTTGACGTCCAGGCGGAAAGTATATGACCCCTGTGGCCTTGTTTGTCCTCTGTAGGCTGAGAAACTGTTCAAAGCCGCAATGAGTTTCATGCTGTCTGGAGGAACAGCACAGGTGAGACAGGCTTCTGTTTACTTAAGAGTCTGTCTTATGTGGATCTCGAACGCCAAAGGATGTTTATGAAGGTTTTGCATATCCTCTCTCTATGACTTATTTTTAACCAGGATGACAACGCAGTCATTGAAATGTCCTTGAAGTTGGCCAGCATCTATGCCACTCAAAACAAGTGAGTATTTTTTATTTTATCCCAAGATGTCGTCTGCTTCCGTGTTGTTAAAGGCTAGCTCGTCTACTCCATTTAATGCATATAAAGAAGGGATTTTTAAACTGTTTAGTGTTTTTGTGCTACTGGAAGAAAAAAAAAAAAAAACCCCCACACAAAACAGTGGATTGCCTTAACTCCTAGAGTTTTATTCGAACGGATTAGTTTTTCAGGATGACGCCTGGAAGAACATACTTGCGCGTCACCTCTTGCATCTGGACAGCAACACATGGTGATATGATCGCATTAAAGGATCATGAATTTATTTACTGTACCAAACATTATAATCGTGATAGAGGGGAATCTGTGAAAATAAAGTCGGGATTTATACTGACTGTATATATAATGATCCTTTAAGCTGGGGGTGAGATCATGCTCTTTCTTTGAAATTTCTGTACCTCCGTCATTGGATCGTTGTCTGTCTGTCCGTCCGAGATTCTTATTCGGAGGATATCTCGAGAACGTCTGGTCGAATGGGTGCAGGTCTTGTCTGGAAAAATCATTGCAACCAGCAGATTTAGATTTTGGAGTTGATCCAAACAGGTTTAACGTC